GTGTTTGTTAAAAATCCATACCGTGTACGGGTTCTGGGAAGTCGGGGGGGAGGAGGAGGGGGGTTGGGGGGAGGGGGGAGGGAGGGGTATACATTAGGCTAAATTAGAACTATTTTGACACACAAAAAATTGTACTTCGATGTCTTACTGGTTGAGGAATGATGAAATGTTTGTTTTAAAAGAAATAAAACTTTGAATTGAACCGAAAAATCAACCAGCACTAAATCTCTGGTTATTTGCAAACATATTTAAAGCTAAAAGATTAATAATTATTTTAAAATAAAACATTCTCTGTCTATTCAAGTGCTACTGAATTTTATATGCTTCCCATGGAAGGAGTATACAAGGCTTAAGGCATCAATGAAAGTTACATCCGCTTTAAAATCACAATGTTGTGACATCATATTGGCATCAGTCAAATATTTTTGAACAAATAATTTGGTCATTTCGTTTTGCACATCTCTTTTATCTTTTCATTCGGTTTATTTGTCTTTTTAAAATGCCTGCAGGTTTCACTTTGTTTTTGTTTTCTTCCAGAGACAAAGATTAATCAACAGCCGAGTGTATACCAATGGAGAATCAGAGATAGCCATCAAGGTCCCTTTCAAACATACCATGGAGAATGGATCAGGGCTCAACAACTCTGCTAAAGGAAGCACGAATGGAACCAGGAGAGATGAGGAGGCTGCTGCAGGTGGCAATGAAACAGAGAACGAAAATGATGACAATGAAAACAATGAGAATGATGAGGAGGAGGAAGATGATGATGATGATGACGACGACGACCAAGGCCCTTACACTCCTTTTGATCCACCATGTAAGAAATTCCTTTGTTTCTACCTATCTTTCCTTAACATTTCAAATCCTTATCTTTCATCATTCCTTAATGATGAAATACCTAATTTCATCTTTATAATCTTCTAAACTTTCCCTTCCCTTCAATTCTTTTCCCATACAGACAAAATTAATTCAAATTAATTTACTGTTCTTAAATAATTGTATTCTTTGATGCCTTGTAGGAAAAAGGGAAATAATAAATGCCAAATATTATTTTCTATATTCAGGGCTTTGTAGGATTTGACAGTTTAAAGTAGTTTTTCCTTTTGGGTTAAGATAAGCAACCCAATGTTTCCCAGAAGTTTCATTTCATTTATTAAATTTATAGGCCGCCCAATCCCGGAGGACTCCAATTTCCACCAACCCTAGCAAGAATGGGATTGTGGATCTTGTTCTAAATATTTTGTGTAGCACCAAGTTGCCTTCTCATCTTTTAGGGGGAAATCTTACAAAATCCTCTTATATTGTTTTATATTATATTTATGTTTTCCACTTCCAAAGAATAATGTTACAGGTCTATGGACTCTTGAAGAAATTTCAGAAATGTTTGTGTTTTTGCTTTAGTTATTAAGCAATTAATATTTGTTGCGCTGAAAGCAAAATATGAATTAGGAAACATTTCTGTTTTGGCTCTTCCTGATAGGATGCTTTAGAATTAGAGCACTCCCTCTTTTTGAATGCTGCTGATTGCAAAGCTTTTGTAATGAGTGAGCAATGTTACTGACATGTGCTACCACTAACACTGGAGCGGGGAGGACAGTAAAACTTTCTGACCTTCTGGAAAGCTACTTCTGCACTGAAAGCATCCACAAAATACTTCCTGTTTCTTTGCCTAACTGAGGAAGAATTGAGAATTCTCCGCAGCCAGTTTGCAAAGGGTCTGATGCTGTGGCCTAGAGAACCTAGAGAGACTGGAGAACCTTTGAAAAATACTAAAAAAAGAAATCATTATATGATTATTTAAAATAAAAGTGGTGAATATTGTGAGATGGAAACTGAAAAGATAATCTCTCATTCCAATTTGGCAGCAATAAACATGCTCATACTTCATTGGCCTTGGTCACCTTCCCAATCTAGAGTTTCTAATAAGGAATCAACCGTCTAAGGCGGGGGTTTCCAACCCCTGGGCCACAGCCCATTGCCAGGCCTTCAGCCCTTCGGAACCGGGCCATGTAAGTGGCGGGCGAGTGCATGCATGCACATGCCTATCCCCGCTTGTGTGAGTTGTGGGTAAGTGCCTGCATACACGCATGCCTGCCATTTGCACAAATGGGGCTGCACGCATGAGTGCTTGCCCACCGCTCATGCGTAACCATGCCCTCTCTTCCCTCTGCCATTCCGTAAAGCTGGAAAGGTTGGGGAACTCTGGTCTAAGGGCCCCATTACTTGGTTTTACTATTTGCTGATTAATCATTGTGGTTGCTATTGTACTTATTTTGTGGATGTTTTAAATTGTTTTAATGCTTTTAATTGTTTTATAGTATTTGAAGTGTAAGCCACCTAGAATCCCCTGGTTGAGGTGGTAGCTATAGAAATTGAATAAATTGAATAAATAAATCTTTGAATTTTTAATTGTATAGATTGGAAGGCCATATTTCCTACAAAAAAAGGATTTTGAATTGTACTTAAAATGATCTGATCAGGGTCCCTGAATTTAGTACGCCAGCCAACAGTATTCCATAACCGTGTGAGGTGCTGTGGGACCAAGAATTGTTCCATTGAAATAGAAAATGAATGGAAGGTGCACCAGCACTTGAGTTGAAAGTATCAGTAGGAGCCTTCAATTTAGGTTGTAAAGTTTGGGACATGCTCCATGTTGCATGATGGAGACCTTGTTGATTTGTGTAAAGTCTGCCTTTTGCCCTAGTTTTATCTCACACTTCACATAAGTTCATTGATCTCTGCTGCTCTGGTAAAGAAATCATCAGGCATAAGACAGATTCCATTCTTGCACTGAAAAAAAAGAAAAGAAACACAGCAGTATTTAGAGAAATAGGACTCACTCAGGTAGTTTTTTTTGTAGATAGATTGCTGTTATCATAAGGAATTGTATCTTTAATGATTAAAAGGAGAGAGAACAGCTTGCCATTGTCTTCATTATTAGCACTAGGTATTAGAAATTGTAGAATGAAAAGAGCTTGTTTGAGTCCCTCTAGCCTTTTCAGGATGGTGTCCTGCTCATTCTTAAGCATTTGTGAAAAAGCATTTGATAGGGTTAAATGCATCCTATTACAGATTGACTATTAGTTTAATGAAAATCACTTTCCCTTCAACTGACAAGACAGGCTTGAAGGGGGAATTATCAAGGTTGTTTTCATTTTATTATTGTATACTTCTTTTGTAATGCATGTATCATTTTGTATACAAAGTTGTCCCTTCATTAGAGTTAAACTAATTCAAATTTATGGGAATTACATTCTGAGTCCCATACTCAGTTACCAATGTTCTTCTTTTAGATGCTTGCTCTTTGATGCCGGCTTGAGGCTATGCTTGGTAAAATACTGGTCCAAGGAAATGTTGGGGAGGAGAATCTCTAGTACAAGCCATATACTCCTAAAAAGTAATATTTCTACACAGCAGCACCAAATTTCTTCTTACGAATGAAGATGAATATAGATGTTCCTCCTTTTCTTTCCTTTTTAACTTATATTCATTCCCTACATGTTACACTGGACAACACTTTTTTCCCAAAAGTTTTGCTTCCTGAAAAACCTTTGATGATAATGATAGATCCCTTCAAATTAAACAAAAATATAACTCCAGAATGACTATCACATAGGAATCTTGAGAAGTAATAAATTAACTTTTAATGACTATAAAGTATTCATGATGCATTTAATGACTATAATGTATTTAATTGTTTCCGACATGCTGCATGAGTTCAACAGGTCTAAAAGTGTTTTGCTGCTGATTTTCATTTGCACTCAGTGTCCAATCCATCTCACTGCAGTGTCCAACAATAGTCAGCCAGCATTGATGAATTTCAGTTGCCCTGATATTGTTTTTCCATTGTGGCAATGTCTCAGTGAAACCTTTCACCATATTCACACTGATTCCTTGTAGATTTTCAGGAAAGTGAATACAACATGGGCAAATGCATAAAACAAATCTTCAGTGACATGTTGTATTTCATGGTTTCTTAATGCTGCAGGAAGCTTATTAACCAGCTGAATGTAGGTTGATGCTCTGCAGTTGCCATCAACATTCTCAATGACACCCTTAAATGCAGATCTTTGAACCACTTGTCATTGATGAAATATCTGATATGTAGACCAACAAATTTGCCTTCCTTAATTGTGGCATCAGTTATTCTTGGAAATATCTGTCTCAAATAATGAAAACCTTCCTTGTTCATCTCCTTTGTAAAAACTTTCATGAGTCCAAATTTTATGTAAAGCAGAGCCAAAAATATCTTTGTCAGGTCGAAAAGTGGAACATATGCCACATTTTTATGTCCTGGAACTCTAATTTTTTCAGAGTAGCCATTTTTTAAAAATTTAATGTGACTCTCTTGCATGACTGTCCCATCTGCATATGTAACAACATTACTTGATATATCAGAGCTGCATTCCAAGTAGAACCACTACTTTTTATATTTCCACGAATATTCCAGTTGTACTTGGTGTACTGGGTGCGCTTTAACAACAGTTCTACATTTTGTATGTTTCTTTCATGTGTCCAACATGAACTAAAGGATGTACATTGCTGTTGTGGAAAAACATAGTTTATATAAAACAATATGTGATAGATTAAATTGCAGATTATTTTAATGATTAGCAGCAAAAACCCTGTAAAATACATCCAGGAGTGTTCAGGAAGAAAAATCTTTGTTGCCCAGAATTATTTTAAACCGCTGGTCTTTGACTATTATTATAAAGTCTATAAAGATATATCCATCCATCCATCCATCCATCATAGCAATAGCAATAGCAATAGCAATTAGACTTATATACCGCTTCATAGGGCTTTCAGCCCTCTCTAAGCGGTTTGCAGAGTCAGCAGATCGCCCCCACAGTCTGGGTCCTCATTTCACCCACCTCGGAAGGATGGAAGGCTGAGTCAACCTTGAGCCGGTGAGATTAGAA